GATCCCAGGACCCTGGGATCATGAACTGAGACGAAGGCAGATGCTTAACGACTGAGCCACCCAGGCGCCCCTCATATGTGCTTTCATTAATTAATTCTTTAGTGAATGGACATCAAAGCAGCTATGCCTGTCTTTACTTACTTAGCCTACTGAGAATTCAAAATTGTTTATATTTCTTGGCACTGAGAAAAGGGCCATATCAATTTATACAAAATACTCTTAGTTTAGATTTTTTAGTGTAGTATTTAGGCAATTAACTTGTTGATTAAAATAATGTTTAATATTTTTCTTAAACAAAGTCACAATCCCTATATAAAAATATGTATTATGCTTCTCATTTCTGAACCCATATTCCCACGAGTGTGGACTTTTGACCCCGGGAGTTCATCATTCATTTATATCACTTTGGAATAAGAAAGAACCCAATATGGCCATATCCCATTTATTCTTAATTTAATGAAGTAATATATAAGAAAGCAATTGTTGACACTATTTATTAGTAATACTTTTTGATGTCTTCCTTAATTCAGTCTGTAGAACAGAAGAGAATATTTAAATGAAAAAGAGAAACAGAAAACAGAAGAAATAGCCATGCAGCTGTTCCTTAACTGGCATTTTAAATGATTTTGAGAAATAGAAAAGGGGATTACTTGGATCGGTGTTTATTAATCAAAATTGTTTGTATGTGTGTGTGTGTGCATGTGGATGTGTAAAAAACATTTCTAATTATGGAGGTATTAACAAAATTGATTTCACCTAATGAGAGATGCAATAGCTTCATCACTCATCTTCCTGCTTCTGAGCTTGCATCCCATTTTTTATCAATAAGCTACCAGACTCCATCTAAAACATAGGCCAAGTCCTGTCACTTCACAGTTCAAAACCTTCCCCATTTCACTATGAGTAAAAGTCAAAGTTCTCATAATTGTTAAAAAGATCCTACACCCCCCCTCCCCTTACCTCTCTGCTCTCATCCTCTGCCTCTTTCCCTTCTCTATAAGGTGATACTATTTCTGGCCCCTGTTTTACACATGAAGAAACTGAGACCCAGAAATTTCTTAATCTTGCTTGCATTCAGTCTATTGTTCATTCATGAAATATTGAATTCTTACTACGTGCACAGCACTGGCCGGTTGTTTTGGGCATAAAGGCAGTTAAAATATTGTGTTTATCCTCAAGAAGGTTCAAGCTAGTGGGGGAGGGGGTGCATAAATTTAATAAAATCAAATAGTGCATGAGGTGCAATCATGAGAAAGTGCACAGGGCATTCTGGAAGCCAGAAGAGCAGAACCAACCCCAGCCTGGAGAATTAATGCAAGGCTACCTACAGACGAGGACATCTGAACCACTGTTAGGGAGGAGTAGAAGTTGACTAAATTTGGAGTGGAGGAGGGCATTCCAGGCAGAGGGCATGGTGAGGACATAGGCGCAGAGTAGGAAACAAGGTGATGAATGGACATTGGGAGAAGGCAGGTGTTTCAGGACCATAAACTTAACACAAAGCACCGAGCCATAAGCAGACCGCATCACCTCTTCCACCTGGGAAGCGGGGTCTGGAATTAGTTTTACTGTCCAGGGAACTGGGGTGAACAAGGACACCAATTCCCGAGTTTCAGGCTGATAATCCACCTCTACAGTATAACTCTGCACTATAAAGTTAGATTTTACTTCATTTCTGATTTTTATTCCAGCTGTTTATCAGGTCTGGAGCCCCAACCTAAATCCTGTTGCATTTGGAAGAGGCCATGACAATAAAAGTTATTCCCTGGTAGGTGCCATTTTCCCTTCCTCCCACCTCCTCTTCTTCCCACTCCACCTCAAGCAGCATCTATATATAGGTGTAACTTTCAGACCGATGACACTGCATCACACGCTCCCATCTCCCTGAATAGTATCATTGCTTTCTGAAGTCTACTTGCTGGGGGCACTTAGGACTTCCAGACAAACCCCCACATATTGGGTGTAGTTCTGATTAGATTTTAGTTTACTGTTCAGTTTGTTCTTTGTATTGTTTGCATTTTCAAGCTCTAAGCTCTGCAAATAATTGCCCTAAATCATGTTAGTTATGTGCACTCAGCCTAGGGACAATTTCATTTACATCCCATCAAGGCTGCTTCTTGAGGATCTAGGATGATTTAAGTGTTCTGAAACCAAGAAAGTACTGGTATTAGAGGGTATTTGCTGTTTTGCAGCAGTAAAGCAAATCTGTTGCATCTTTGTGGTTATATAAGAAAATTCATAAAGTTTTGAACAGACATTAGCTTTTTCTTTGTTATTTTACATAACCCAGGTCAGAAAAAAAATGCATACAATTTTTTTGTTGTTATAATTGCTGTTTTTCCTGTAAGGGAAGTTTTCTCATTTACCTGCATCCAATTTGCTTCATGAATATTCAGCTGTTGACGGAGCTGCAAGCTAATATCCATGGAAATTAACCCATTAATAGTATTTTCCTGGCTCCTACTTGGTTCATGAAGTATACAGAAGTATTTATGATATTTCCTATTTTATTTTCCTCTTGGCTTTTGAAACATAATGGGATTATTGATAATAATTGTTATTCCAGATTTTCAGTTATTTTTTCTCATATTTCTTGAGTGCATAAGCAAAATCTTTCAGATATTTGCCTTTTTGCAGATTGTTAATGTAATTTTTACAAAGCAAATTATGAATAAAAATTATAAATGGCTTAAAGACAGAACTAAGATATTTGACATATTTATACATATATAATGCTAATCCTGTTATTAATGCATTGATTATCACATGTTGTAAAAAAGACTGATTCTTCTTGAAGGTCTTTCAGAGATTAAATGAACTGTCATTTAATGAAAGTAGCATCTGGCAAGTATATTTGATGATATAAAATAAAATAGGAAAAAATAGTAGTAATAGCTAACAGTTATATATTGGTTTTTGATGTAATAGTTGCTTCACGAATATTAATTTATCTAATCTCTGCATCAAGGCTATAAGAATAGATACCATATTATTCTCATTTTACAGATGTTGAGACTACATCAGGGAGGTAAATTTACCGGTGAGATGTCTCATATCTAGCATTTGGTAGAGCTGGGATTTGAACCCAGGCAGACTGGCTCCAGAATTCAAACTTTAAACCACTTCACATTCTTCTTTTTTATGTTGACAAAGTCTGCAAACTGGACTGCCTGTTGTCCAACACCTGTGCATTCCTTCCCCACTGATTTAAAGAACCACCTGTTTCATGGGGCACCTGGGTGGCTCAGTCAGTTAAGCCTTGGACTCTTGATTTCCGTTCAGGGTTGTGAGATTGAGCTCCGTGTGGGGCTCTGGGCCAGTGTGGTATCGGCTTGAGGATTCTCTCTCTCCTTCTCCCTCTGCCCCTCTCCTCTCCCCTGTGCAGGCTCAAGAGTGGGCTCTCTCTCTAAAATAAAGTACCACCTGTTTCAACACTGAATTCCCTCCTACTCAAAGTGTTTTCTGGGCTCTCTTCGGTTCCACTGATCTATTGTCTGTATTAGCCCGAAACTAACTGTTAACATTACTCTACATTAGTTCCTTCTAGGAATAGAGTTCAAATAGAACAAAAATGGAAAGGAAACAAAATTACAGGCTAACAAGTGGATGGTATGTTGAATATTTATTTTTATTTTTTTATTTTTTTGGTATGTTGAATATTTAAACATGAAAAAAGGAGAGAAGGGGATATGGTAAGTCAGAAGGGGCAAAAGGATGTTTGTAGAAAAGTATTACATGTCTTAAGGTTAGGAATGGACAATTTTAGGAGTCAGTTTTAAAGAAAAGGTAAAATAGATATATAAATTTCTAAATAAAAAAGTTCTTTATAGTAGTTCAAGCATACATTTATCATGAAGCAGATTTAAAAAATCTTTCTTCTCTACCTTATGGGATTGTACAGTGAGCTAGATCACAGTGTGAGAAAAAAAGAGGTCTGGATGCCAGACGGAGACGGATCTTCGTGTTGGTATCCTCATTCATTTCTCTGGGTTGTTTTCCAGCATTAAATACTTTTTCTTCCCCCGCTGCTACATTTCCTTTTCATGGGAACTGAATTCTCAAATAACGACTTAAACAGGAATACTGTTCTGCACTTTAAATTTGGGAAATGACCAGTTTCCTGTGCCAGAGAAAAATTTGTGCTTGAGAATATTATCTATATAGTGTGCTTTGTACTTCCTGCTTAGCCTTTTCTTTCATTGTGCTGTGTTTTTTAAGTTATCTGATACCACTGTAAATTCCTGAGCAGCACAATATGAAGTATTATATTAAAGACACAATAGTCTACTAGCATCTCTGAATAAATATTTGTGCAATATTAAAAGTAAGTTAATTTAGCAGGCATCTTATTGAGAAAAATTTTCATAAGTATGTTCATGTAAGCTTATGAACTGCCTTTGGAAATTCATTTTATCCCATATTGATCACCAACTGACAGCCGGAGACATACTTTTATCTGAAATGACACCCAAAATTCTGGGATGTTTGAAATATCCTTTTTTGTTGTTAATTCAGAATGTAATGGAAGGCTCATTATTTTCATCTGACTTTAAGCTCTTTTACAAATATTATAACTTGTAATATATAAAGGAATAGATTTTAATTTTTGTTTTGCAACCTCGCCTAATGCATTATCTTTGTTCGATGGTTCTATTTGTACTGTAAAGAGTTGATAGCATTCGGAAGAGCTAAGGTGACTTCAACAATATTAGTCTTCTTTTCTGTACCTGACGTTTTTGTAGAACTTTTTTTCAGATTGGCTTATCATTCTACTTCATCAGCTTGTGTGATTTTTGTCCATACCAAGATCATGTAGCAGTTCATTGAAGTCAAAGCCATAGTGTGGCCATACTCTGCATACATTGTTCAATTTTTATTAATATCTTGTGCTCTAAGTCCTCTCAAGGTTTATGGATGGGCTGCAGTCTCTGTTAACACCTTACAGTTTGATCTTGAATTAATTTTTTTTATACCTTCTTTCTATTTGTTAATTTTTAAATTTCTGGAATGTTTAGAAAATATGACTAGAGAGATTGACACGAACCACACTTGAGGGCAAGCCTGAAATTTTGAGCAGAAAAGATCCAATACGACAATATGGAATATACATATGTTTTAATGAACAGTAGGTTCCCACGCAACAAATGCCTTGAATTATTTGTTTTGAAACCAAGGAATTACCTTGAAGTTAGTGTTAGTTGGATTGATTTACTGTTAAGAGAGGAGCAGAAAGGGGAAGGCAGGGGATTTACCCTTTAGTTCTGTTCTCTGTAGTGTTAGGAATAATTAAAACCATAGTAGATATAATAGAACTATAGCTGTGGTTGTAGCAATAGTAACAGAAATACCAGTTAGCATTTTTTTGGTCCTGATTATGCACTGGCACTGTGCAGAGTGCCCAACAAAAATTACCTCTGTGAATTCTCTTTACCTCTCTGTGAGATAGGTACTATTATTTTTTAAAAAAATATTTATTTGAGAGAGAGAGCGCATGCACACGTGAGCAGGGGTAGGAGTAGAGGGAGAGAGGGAATCTCAAGCTGATTCCCAGCTGAGTGCAGAGCTGGATGTGGGGCTTACCCCAGGACCCTGAGATCATGACCTGAGCTAAAACAAAGAGTCAGAGGCTCAGTCCATTGAGCCACCCAAGCGCCCCAAGGTACTTTTATTTTTTAACCTAATTTAATGTGTGAGGAAACAGGCTCAGAGCCTTGGCTGTACTCCCTGCGTATGAGACATCCTGTGTCTGCCTAGGTGTGTGGTAGGTGTTTATAGGTGTGTTGGGGAGGATTAATTTTGAGGGGTTTCAAAATAGCAGACTATAAACACTGGGCGCTTCTAAATCTTACTTATTTAGTTGTTTTTTTCCTAAAGTTTCGTGTATCACTGACCATTCTGGAAAGAGACATCAATCACCCGAAACAATACAAGGAACACAAGATCATCATGAATCAAATGATACTTGGAATATATAAACCAAGAAAAATTTATTGCCAAAAAGTCACTTTATTAAAAAAATATTTAATAGTTTAAAATAAAGAACATAGGGTTTTTTGTCTTCGAGAAAATTAATTGTATTACATTAGAATTAACATCTCATGTAATTGTGAAATCCTTGGGAAACCAGATGTTAAGTAAATAGGCACCAGTTTTCTTAGTGTTTTTCATTCAGGCTTTTTCTCTTCTCATCTGGGGACTTTTTCACTCCAATACTTTAAGCCCAAATGCCGTTTTAAAACTGAGAACTCTGGGGGTGCCTGGCTGGCTCAGTCAGGAGAGCATGTGGCTTGATCTCAGGGTGGTGAGTTCAAGCCCCACGTTGGGTGTAGAGATTACTAAAGATAAATAAAATTTGAAAATAAAATCAAATAAAACGTAGAGCTCTGGAATGATCAGTATTAAGGATTTATAAAAACCCAAACGGGCCTTGGCAATCAGTGTGGGAATAAACAACAATTAATGTTTAGTTTTGGGATGGAGGTAACAGGGAATAGTAATGACTGTAGCAAGTGAAGGGAACATGTGGTTGCTTTTGTTCCAGCCTATTGCTACCACTCAGGAATGTGGAACCTGGGTTGATCTTTTCTCCTAGTGTTTGAAGAGGGACTGTAATTGTTGATTTTTATGTCAATGTTCTTATTTCCTTAAATGGTAGCAGTTGAAACAATGTTTTAATCTAATTGTGCTATGTTAAAAAATACCTCTACTGCATTTGATCTTTGCTTTAGACTTAACTCATTGCCTCAAGTCAATGGAAGTTAAATATCC